TGTGTAAAGAGAGCAGCAATTATGAGTGGCTGCAGGTGGTTCCCTGCGACTATGCTTTGTCAGGATGCCTATCCTGGAGAGTGAGAACCTGGAGCATAATGGTAGGCTTCTAAGTGTTACCAACTCCAAATTCCATCAAAAATATCTCAAGTGTAGCTGTGGATGAGCCATAGCTATTATTATTATTATTATTAGTTATTTGATTTCTCCCTAAGCCTTCTTCCTAAGATAAGGTAACAATCCATATAAAAAGACACAAGTACAATCACAAATTACAAGTACATAAAATAACAAATTGCGAATGTTTGCTCTTTTTTAAAAAAGGCAACAAAACAAACAGTATGTAAAAGGCCAACCAAACATTTGCATCCGGACTTTTCCTCCTGACTGGCAACCTATCGCTGAATGGAGGATTCCCAGCATGGGAGTACATCCTTCATGAGCATTCAACCATCATTCTTATTTCCCGAAGTACTGCGATGAACAGCTTCACATAGGAATTTAAGTAACACTGGAGACAAGATGGTTCCTTGATGAAAAGCAGGCCAGCACTGCTAGGAACCTGATGCACAGTGCTGGAATCTGCCCAGAGGAGAGTAGCAGAAATGCCACAGGTGGACAGAGCTGATGGAAGAAGGAACCACGATCAACAGTATGAATGGCTCCTGAGAGATGGAGTAAGGGTCATACTATCTCTCTCCCTACCCCCATAAACACTATCTATCAGGGCATCCAAGGCCAAATCCATGCCTATCTAGTCTGATTGGAGCTCAGACTAAAATGGGTTTAAATAATCAGTAATCGCCAAGAACACATGAGGCTGAATCACCACCATGACCTTGAACATCCTTCTCTCTTAAGTCAGTATTTTATTGCCACCAGGGGGCAATAACATTTATTTTATTATGTTGCAAACTGCTTTGGGATTTGTGCCCCATGAGGAGTGGTATAGAAACGTCACCAATAGATATATCTAGTAGTAGAGATATCCATACTATCAGTATGGCGGTCCAGAGGTTTCCTGAGCTACATTATAAAGCTTACACTGTATTTATTTATTCAATAAGGCTGCAGTCTATGGAGCAACTTGCATGTAATCTGGTGCATTCACAGGATCAGGCTGTAACTAGCTTCAGGACTGCAGTGTTTGATCACAGGCAGCTACTGTTGTCTATATTGACAAACTCCTTCCATGTGGACAATGAAACATCCACTTTTTGAAAACATCAATAGTATACACTATATTGACCAGGGAGGGGAGAAAAACCTGTGTGGCCGTCCAGGTATTACTGGACTCCAGATCCTACCATCTATTTTTCATTCTGGCTGTGGTGGATAAGAACTATTATTTATTTATTTGACTTTTACATTGCCCATCTGGCTACCTAGGGCCTTTGGGAAGCAAAACAGCATCCATTTATAAATGAGATTCCAGAAAACTGAGCTGTGCAGCTCTGATGTACGCTATAAAGGGACAAAGGTGCTCCTCCTGCACATCTGGAAAAGCTTTGGTTTTTTACCAGACATGCAGTCAGCTTTGCAGTGATAAATTTTGTAGTGTAGGTGCCCATCATGGCTGCAGCTCACAGAGAACTGGGGAAAAAAGGAGGCAATTCTGATGATCTAGTTCAACAAACCAGTTTTATCAGTTTTAATCTCTTCCAGGAGTTATTTTTTAAACAGCTAATAAATATTTTTTTCTTATTCAAGATCAAGGCACCTCAATTACTTTGCATTGCAACAGGCATAACTCCCAGCAAAGTCTCAACACCCTTGGCCATAAACCATAAATTTCTGTCTGTTCTAACAGATCACAATATCTCTGAGCCAAATGCCACTGCTAGTGCACAGGTGCTGAACAGTAAATCAAGGTAGAGGTTAAATGGCACTGATTCAAGGGGTCTAGTCTAGTGGGAATAACAAAATGAAGTTATAGCTAGGAGGGTGCAAATAAACTCCAAAAGAAAGCTGGTGGCTGGTGATGTCCTGGTTCCTGCTAATAAACGCCCCCTTGCTCAGTAGACTTCCTCACTGAAGCTCTATGCTAGCATTCAGAGGCCCCACAACATCAGGCTCTTCCCTGCCCTTTCGTTTTCTTTGTGGAATTTACTGGGCTCCGAGGGGAGCCCCTTCCGCTCGGGCGTCTATCCCGCGCCGAAGCCGAGGGATGCTGAAGGGAGTCCAGCTGAGCTCGGCGGGTCCTAGGCTGGCACTCCGGGCGGGCGGCACAGCTTTTGGAAGCACACCAGTCAACGGCTCGAGGGGAACTCCTACACTGGAAACAGAATAATCGGGGTGGGGTGGGGGCGAGGCGGGCGGTGATAACGGCGACTTTCAGTCCTCCTGCATGAACGACATCCAGGCCAGAAGGGCTCGAGAGCAAACACCACCGTTTGGGGCGGGGCAGGGCGTCACGTGTGAACACGTTCTTAGACACGGGAAAATGAAAAACCTAGTT